ACGGAGACTGCAGGACACATCCCTGGTTTGAGGGGGATATCGGATCAGACTGCCAGGAACCATCTTCGCAAGGCTGGAATCTGACCCAGAAGACCAGTTATCGTCCCTGTTTGGAACAGATACATCGACAGCGACGCTTGCGTAGGTGCCATACCTTACAGCCTTGGAATTTGAGAAACTGGCGACGAGTGTGGTTTAGCGATGAATCACGATTTCTTCACCGGCGAGATGGAAGACAGCGTGTTTATCGTCTTTGAAATGAGCGTTTTGCCCCACATTGTGTCCGTGAATTCGACAATTTCGGTGGCGGTAGTGTTACGGTGTGGGCGGCCATATCCTACACTACGAGATCTGACTTGGTTGTGGTTCAGGAAATTTGACAGCAAATTACTACATGAATCAAATTCTTACAACCTCAACTTCTTCCAATTATTGACCGCCAGAGGGAGCTGTTTCAACAGGACAACGCTCCACCGCACATAGCTCGTGTCACGGTAGACTACCGTCACAATGATACATCTCATATATAATTCTAAAACAGTTTCCTTTCACATTACTATCTATTAACTTTGACCACATCCCCATGCAGTATCAAATCAGATGTTTCTTTTGGCTATAACAAATATCATTGAGAGCCTTTAATACAGATATATTACCTGTTGTTGGATAGCCTTTCCTGAATTTCACTTGGTTGAGACCTAGAAGATTAACATGATGTGTGTACTGATTATAGAAGTAAAGAGCTTGCCTAACTGCTTACAAGGGTTATGCCTGTAGTTTTCTGGTTCTTTTGGATTGTCTTTGTTCTTGTAAATGGACATTATGTTACCAGTAGGCCAGGATTCAGGTCAGACACCATTATCTAATTAATACATGGTTTAATAGTTTTACATACACTGAAAGGCAAAAGAAAGGCTTATATATGTAGGTAAAGACATCGGAGAAAGTCAGTGTTTGACCAACATGAAATTAACAGTCTGGGGAATGTTTTTGCGAATTGTGAATTTGGGGAGGCACCAGAAGACATCACTGCTGGGGGGTTCAAAATCAGTACCTAGTGTGGCCACGACGGGCGTTGACTACAGCCACACATCTCCTGTACATGTAGACTAGCCTGTTGATTAAGGCCATTGGGATATTGGCTCATATCCCCAGGAACGCTACACGAAGTTCTGCTGCAGTTGTCGGCCTTGGGCGTACGTCGTTGATTCGGCGTTGGATCTCATCCCACAAGTGTTCAATGGGATTCAAATCCGGACTTAGGGCAGGCCAAGGCATGATTTGGATGTTGTGCTGCTGGAGGAAGTCCCTGGTGACTCTGGCAGTGTAGGGACGGGCGTTGCTGAAAGGTGTGGTCTTGATGACGGGCAAAAAAGGCCTGGGGTCTGAGGACTTGGTCAATGTAGCGGAGAGCTGTGATGCCGTTACCCCTGCCTGGACCAATATTCTGAAAGACCACAGGTCCCACTCTCTGGTTCAGTACGATTCCACCCCAAACCATGATGCTTGAGCCACCCCACGGGTCTCGTTCCACAACACATGCATCAGCATAACGTTCGCCAGACCCTGACTCTGCCATCCACAGTTGAAACACAGTAGCGACTTCCATCAGTGAAGATGATTCTTCTCCATTGCTGTTGACGCCAATTTGATGCTGCCTGGCCCATTGCAGTCGGGCCTGTCGGTGACGATCTCTCAGGATGGGTACACGAGCAGGACAATGGCACGAGATCTTGTTGGCAGTTAGGCGACGTCGGACTGTACGATCACTGATGGCACGCTGGTTGTTGCAAATGGTTTGCCGAGCTGGTACAGTGGCCATTCGGAATCGGTTCTGCGGGTGTTGGCGTATCATGAACCGATCTTGTCTAGGAGTAGTGACTCTAGGACGACCACTACGCGGTCGGTCGTCAATGGTGTTGGTGTTGTTGTGGCGATGTTGCAAACGATATATCGTTCTGACGTTGACATTGAATGTATTTGCAACGACCTGTGCACTCTTCCGATCGCTTGTTGTCTCTCATTTCCTGATAATTTTGACATGGCTGATTGATCGAAATAACGAAAGACAGCTTAACAGTTTTGGGCGTCTTTTATAACCATACCATCCACGATATGCACGTGCATCATGTTTTTGACAAGACTTTTCCGCAACTGAGTCCCATTGCACTTTTGTAGGCTGCGTTTGGGCAGAGCACTCCATTTTAAACTCAATTGTTAAATGGACTTTAAGGCAACAAAAAGAAGCAGTAGAATGATAAATGAGTTTATTGACCACAGAACATGTAACTGCCAGTGTCTGTTAAGTTTTATCACTATTTTCAGAAGTGACGTTTCTTTTGCCTTTAAGTGTAGTTACAATGACAGTAGTAGACGAGCTGACGCTTTGATATACTCATTACAACTACCATCCAAGCCACAGGCTTTGTTACTTTTGAGATCACTGATTGCTGATAAAACCTCATCTTCCGTAACCACGCTGTTTAATAAGTCATGTCAAAATGCTTCACAGTAAGCAATAGAATGACTATTATTATGTTCATCCTTACCGTCATTTTGAAATATTCATAGAACCTTCTTAAATCTATGTTATTTTCAGTTTTTCTTACATCGAAAGATATTAGTAGATTCCAGCATGTTTTCGGATCAGCTGACCTCATAGGAAGTAATTTATCGGTATTTTTTTCTTGTACGCTTTATAAGTACTCTTTAGCCTTACCCTGTGTTCCCCGGTAAACTCGCCAAAACGAAAGTTTGTATTTTGTTTGAATCGCCCATATTGACGTTTTCTCTTATGGTAAAGTTTTCGCCTGTGTTTAATTTTTCATTAAACCATGGCTGTTGATGTTAATACTTTTTTTTATGTGTGCATCATCAACACTGTTCCAGGCCGTTTATGGACCCCTTTGGTTTGTCCGGGTCTATGCGAGGTAGGGAAATTGCATTCAACCAGGGACAGAAGTTATTTTACTTCGTGTCACGACTATGTAGTAATAAACAATGCATTTAGATGGACTAGATGCAATTTTGTAGCCATACAAGGCAGACTTAATTATAAGCCATTATGCCACAAGAGGTAGTTTCGTGGAACAGACTCACGAATATAGGTGACGTCACACGAACTATCACGTTGCCAAATCGAAACAGGTGATTTAGAACGTGTTCACATTTTGTTTTTTGCACATTAAACAAACAGTCGGTAAGATCAGTGGCGATATGCGTTAATTCACACAGCAATAACGTATATCTTTACGGTTGTATGCTGTATCGCATACAACATATACAATATGATCAATCTCACTGTATACTGACCGAAATATACAAAAGGCTTGTACATTACACTGCTTTGCGCCAATAAATGGGGGAAGAAAGACCCGAGTAGCTCTGTGAAACTCAATCGCAGGGGTACGACTATGGTGTTAACAAACCAATTCGAGCCAACAATCAGCGTATCCTGAAGTGGCGAAGGGAAGCAACTCTTCAGAGCGAATTGCCGTTCCCTAGAGAGAGAGAAATATTTTCAGGATCTATTCATTGAGCCATTCATATATTTTTCACTGCTCTTTTGCCTGTTACGTCATCGGACTCTGTTTAGGCGGATAATCGAGACTGGTTATTGTCTGTCGTTGACGTCTTATATATATATGATTATGGAAAGGATTTGGCTCTTTTATTCAGAAAAATGTCCCATATAAGGCCCTCTACAAACTGAAGCTTTCATTCGCGTTTTCATAAAACAGTATTGGTGAAATGTACATGTTCAGTTAATACGAAATATACTGATGAAAGTGACGTTGTCAGATATCAGTATATGGTGTTTCTGTGCTTGGCTTGATGCTTGATGTTTAACGTCGCACTCAGCAATACTCCAACTATATGATCGAGAGTCTAAACAAGATTAACCAGTGATTATACATCTCATCCTGTTCAATCTCAGTTGCCAGAAATTGACACGCTAACAAGTCAGACAAGCAAGCGATCGGGGGTCCCTACCCGGAGCCGTAAACAGGCTTGGTCTCAAGACAGAACAGTCAGCACATATACAACATATCTGTAAAGAGTTTTTGACACTGTACATTCCTGGTTTATGTGAATACCAAATTGTACAGGAAACACCTTAAGATTGTTATCCCCAAACTGTACAGTATCAGGTCCATGGTCTGGAGTGAGAGAGTTGGGTTTAACGCCGCTTTTAACAGTATTCCAGTTATATCACGGCGTGTCAGCTTAATGTGGGTGGAAAGCCCGAAGTGATGCAGGTCTCAGACGTTTACCACTTCGGTGAAACCCACGAGCACGGGTATGGTGCTGACAAACCTAGAAACATAATCGGGGCGAACCGGGATTCGAACCCACAATCATAGGTTTCTGGCGTGCCCAAGGGACGCAACTGTGCACTGCGAATCGCGGCGCCTTAGACGACTGGGCCACCCGTGCCCCCCCCCCCCCCCCCCCATGGTCTGGAACACCGTAATGGCGAATTGTTGATTTATTAAATCTAATTTTTAAACCACTTCATTCGTGTTTTATACATTCTAATCCAAGACTTGTTGGGGTTAGAATTGGTCTTCAGCAACCCATGCTTGTCGTAAGAGGCGACTAACAGGACCGGGTGGTCATGCTCGCTGACTTGATTGATGTCATCGTATCCCAATTGCGTAGACCGATGCCCATGATGTCAATCACTGGATTTTCTGGTCCAGACTTGTTGATATACAGACCGCCGTCATATATAACAGGACTTTTGCTGAGTTTGGCGTTAAAGAAAGAAAGAAACAAGCAAATGAAACAAAACCGTGTGTCATACATTCGCCAATTGTAAACACTTGGGTCGGGGAAAAACCTCGGTCGTTATCCTGAACGTGTAATGTAACAAAACCTATATTCAGCTGTTACATAATGGCCTTAAAAAAGCTTGTCCTTTTTCTAACCGGTTTTGATATGAGAATAAAGATCGATACATACAGCTTGTAATGTGTGTGTGTATTGTTTCCCAGACCGATCGCGTTGACTGTTGCTGATCCTCACTAAGAGCCAATACGGAACAGAATAGCGACAGAAAGGACTAGAGAATTATGATTTCTATGACATGCTCCTTATGACGCAAAATTAACACCAGTTTACTTGTTCCGATGTGGATGAGGCTATGTGGATGAGGCTGTGTGGATGACCGCATCACATGCAGGTGTTAACTATAAAGCTTGGTCATAATTAAACGGACTCAACGTCATCGGTGGGTCGGGTCAGCGATTGTGCTCCAACCATTTTCACAGGCGAGATTGTTGAATATGTTTAAACAGTCTACATAACATAAATCAAACCTGTAAATACTTTGGAAATACAAAGAGACAAATATTGATAACAAACTGCATAGTTGAACATAATGCTTCAAGGGGAAGGAGAAATGGCTGAAATCGAAAATGCTATGCATATATGACACGGATTTCGGTACGCTTGAAATCTGGTATGATTGGTGTAGATTTATTTAATAAAATTAACAGAGTTGGTTTGTTAGTGTAGCAACCATACCAGCAACGTTATGAGGCAATCGATAACACATGTAGAGGGTATACGTGTTGCCGTGCACCGACAAGATAGCGTGGTTGACAAGCGTTAGGGTAGTACCTGAGCTGAGCTCTGTTACGTTTGAGATAAGTAGGTGTTAAATATACTGAAATCAGTTACAACTTACAGTAAAGTACGGTTATAACGAACTCAAAGGGTCTACTAATTTTAGTTCGTTATAACCGTAGTTCGTTATAAGCATATATACAGCATAACTACAGCAAATAGTCGGGACCAAAAGAGTAAGTTCGTTATATCCGTCAGTTCGTTATAAGCGTGTTCGTTATAACCGTAGTTTACTGTATTAGCATAGATATATATAATGTCACATGATGACCAAACCGAAACGCTAACGTAGTAAAAAGATGAGATGAGACCGATACCGACATAACACTGGGATATACACCCAATCAGGTGATGTCAATGAACAACACGGCCACTGGTAGCCTTGTGCGACAGTCTGTGGACACGTGGTACTCTCCCAACGCCCCAGTACGCACATGCAAACCCACCTAATTTCAGACACGTCAGCAATGATGGCGAAAACTTGACAAAAGTGACTATCGGCTGGCCAAGATGGATGTCATCAAACATTGCTAGACTGGATATCAAGGTGGAAGGGTTTGATTCTGTGAAGATGCGTGTTGATGAGTTCGAGAACTGCGTGAAGTTTATCGATGGAAGATTCGACGTGTGGGCAGCTAAAAAAAAAAACACCAAGAGAAGCAGAACTAAAAACACTCGGACAAAAGTACAAGTGATCAAGCACCTGCTCTGACAGAGCTGAAAATTGAGAACTTGAAACTAAAAGAAAGTTGACATGAGATGGAGATAAAACAATATGCTAGTATTCACCCTCAGTGGTTAACGTTACTGATTTGGGAGGTTACACTCGCTAATAGAAATTATGATAAGGATGTAAACAATTATTCAAAGGTGACACTGGTGTTGCTGAATGTGTAAATATTGTAATAATGTATACTCTGTGAGTCAAGTTGTCTAGAAAATGTTTTATTATTAATCAAGATTTTGTTTTTGTGGATGGGTTGGTTGGTTTGTTGTTTAACGCCGCACTCAGCAATATTCCAGCTATATGACGGCGGTCTGTAAATAATCGAGTCTGGACCAGACAATCCAGTGATTGATGTCATGAGCATCGATCCACGCAATTGGGATCGATTACATGCATCAACCAAGTCAGCGAGCCTGACCACCCGATGCCGTTAGTCGCCTTTTACGACAAGCATAGTCACCTTTTACGGCAAGCATGGGTTGCTGAAGACCTATTCTACCCCGGAATCTTCACGGAAATGGGTATATGCCACTTGAATGCTCAAGGTATTTAACAGAGGGCATTCATAATTGATAACGCTATCAATATCTGACTATATTTGTTGCATTGATGGGATATTTTAATACCAGAACAGGTAGTTTGATCGACTACTATATATTTCATGACTTTATAATTAAAGAGTTCAATCTAGAGGACGAAAATATAAATTTAGATATCAACCCCGAAACTACCCTTGAAAATAGGACTACTATGCAACAAAGAAAGACTGAAAGACTAGGAGGTCAACCTGACTTCCCACAGTGAACATGTACAGTCTAGTCGATCAAACTGCCTTCGTATTGATTGACTCTGAACGTGCAATGTATGGGGTTAGGCGAGATAGGGCTGACAGATTTACTCCGACTGTAAACAAGTTTAAAGGTTTTAAAAAGCAAAAGGTCACAAAGCGTATTTTTAAACCTGGTACTGGGTGGTATGAAATCCGGGCCCGGTTTGTTCTCAACATCGGCAATCGCAGTCGGCGGTCAGCTGGTATAAATTATTACTCCGAATGTAAAACATGCGAGTTTTCGCTTAATACTTTATTTTCTTTATTAACTAATTGCTGCTCCTAAATACTGCCGATGTCCCGAAGGGAGATGCCAATAATTTGTGTCGCTGTGCTACAGATTTTGAAGAGCTTGTTTTTGTTGCGAACAGACATGTTTCCTCGCCTAGTGAAGTTAAAAATCTCAATACTTAAAATAAATGTTTTATATAAATGGACATGATGGCAGGGACAATTTCATGTCAAACGTCATATATGGCATTGAATGTACCCTTTGTGGATAGATTTATGTTGGAGAGACACAACAGAAATTATCGACACGAGTCAGCCATCATAGATCCGGCATCAAAAGAAATATTTCCTATTGTGTCTACCAACATTTCAATTCTGAAAATCACTCAATCATTTGCATGAAAGTTAGAATATTCGAGAAAATATACCATCCCTCCAATAGCCTTAAACGCAGTCGACCTTATAGAATATACAGGGAAAATCATTGGTTTCCACTGTTGTGCACAGCAATGCCATATGGATGACATGGCAAAATATAAGGCGCTGGCAGTCTTTCTAACCAACGAACTGCCAACGTACAGTATATGTAACATATGTAACATAACCATAATATGTAAGCATCACTCCATTAATTGTTTGATCAAAGAACTTGGTATAAATGACGGATATCAGATAATGCCACATTTAAGGCCAGTATGTTAACTGAGGAAGGAATCTGCCAATACCCTGCATGAGTACTATCAACTTTTGACTTGACATTAATCCATACCTCTTTTGTACTGGATTCCAAAGCTCCATAAAAACCACACAAAAAGAGATATATTGCTGGGTCCAGCACATGTACCACCAAATCCCTGGCTCAAAGACTAACCGTAATTCTTAATCCAATCAAGGAAGGACTTTCTTTATAGTCACAGAAAGTATTTAACACAAGTGGAATTAATACGATGTGGATTCTCAAAAACAGGACTTACACCACATATGGAATAGTGAAAAGGTGTTGAAGAAAAAGCGGAAAACGGGAAAAGAGTATTACTTGGTACGTTGGCCATCAAGTTTTGATTTGTTGGAAGAAGAAAGTCAAGTGCAAAACATTCAGTGAACACGTATTGTCATATTGGACAAGTATATGGTCCTTAACAGCTCAGATTCCAAAGTCAATTTTGAAACCACACCATACCGCTTCCATGTCAAAATATCACTTCGTTCACATTTTGAAATTGTGGATGGTAGCCCTGGATGAATTAAGATTTGGAAAAGTGGATCTGAAAAAGTCCGTCAACCATCAATTTGGCACCCGTTTTATTACAAATATTTTCTATCAAACACACAGTCCCACAAAAGTAACTCACCTACAGTGGGCCATGAATTCAATTACTTTTATAAACTCCACCTCTACCATTATGGAAGTTTTCTATATGTTGTGGTATCATTGACTTTACAGTATTGCTTCAAAAGCAGTTTACCAACCCGAATTGAAAAGGTAAATGATGAGAGTCTTGGAATTTCAATCATTCAGTCACAATATGGCCTGTATGATCAGCAATATTTCGAAATCAAATGTTTTATCATCTGGTTTGGCACCCATATTGGACAAGTGAACAAAGTCTTACGATAATTTATCGAAGAGTTTAAATTATACGAATGTTTGTTTGGTTATACGACAACCATAGTAGCGTGCATGTGTTGTTACATATGTCATCTGTGCCATCCTGTTCTAGAAGCTTTAGAAATGTACTGTTGATTGCGTTAAAGTCATTACAATTGTTCGCGCATTCATTCACTCGAGTCAGAACATGTATATATCATCCATCGCAAGCTATTGATGTCAGATGACAGACTTAGTGTGGGTCTCCTGGGCCAATGGGCCTCAGTGCCCATTAATAATACCTTTGGGCAGAATTGCAAAACGAAAAAAAGTTAAGAAGTCAAATTAAACCGGTGGCTGTGACAAAGACACTTTGTCTGCCATTTCACACACAGTGCACACAAGACGCACAGCGTCATGGTACGAAGCGTACGCCATAAATGTATGGAAATAATAACAACATAACCCTTTCCATAAGCATAAGAAAGCATATGTCATTTTACGATTCCGACTACCAGTATATCCTAATCATATGTGGTAGTTATTATTATATGCAGATAATTACACATATATTTCAAGTTTAGTAAGACCCTGTTCATATGCACAATAATACCTTCGTACGTAATTATTCCACAGGTGTAAATTTACTCAACTACGTCAATAGTATATTAACGCAGACATATCATGTGTATTTTTAATCATGCCACATTTGACCATCGGAATAGAGGAATATGGTTTGGTGATAAAGTGTTGTGGTTGATAAGTTTGATGAGCAGCAATGGATTGAACACTTCCAATTGAAGGAAGAAACCCCTTGTCGAGAGTTCCAAGGCATCAAGTATGTCAACCCGTTGATGTTGAGGACCAAATCTGAGCTAGCAATATACTGGTCATCTGTTCAACAGTCGAAATCCCTCCCCCAATCTCCATAATTCAACTGCTCACATTTGTAATCTTGCTCTGCGTCCATATGACAAAAATAAACACGAGGCAAATATAAATGGAGAAATACATTTACACTAACTCTTGACAAAGTGTAGCTTTGCATATGTGGCATATTTACTTGGTTATGTAATAGCGTCCATATGCACAATTTACACACCTGTGTCATTTTACATACCAATGTAATATAATTACATATACGTGTAATTGTGTGCGTATTAACAGGGTCTTACGGTGGATATATTTGGCATTTAAAAATCCGGTAATATGATTCATGAACATGATCATCGTCTTTTCAGGGGTATCATTTTCCTATCCCTATTTGCGTTTGTTTCAAATGTGGACACACCGGTTTTTGATTCTATGACGGCACGAATAGTGCTGAATGTGGTGTTGAAATGAAAATGAACATCCTGTGAAAACATTACATGAAAAGGATTCTATAAAAAAATCGTTTCATTTCAGACACTTCAGCACGCCTCGGAAATCTGTGTTATGGAGTTCAAGCAGAAGCTTAAGATTGTGCTGTTTGCCACCATACTCCTTGTGATTGTTTGTCTGCTGACCTCTCAGCAAAACCGCACCTTTCTGGTGTTGAATAAAAATTGGACAAAACAAATTGGGGAACAAGTACGACATAATGATGAACAAACCCATGGACAATGTCCTGTCTCTGTTTTAATGGACGGGCATTGGAAGGCACATCCTCGGTCTCCATCGGAAGACACAGAGGCCGACAATATGCTAGGAGTTCAATTTCCCGGATTTAAAGATCTTCTAAATTTCCAAAGATCTAATGGACAATGTGGAAATGTCACTCATCTGCAATATCAAAGGATAAGAGCTCTGTGTCATCCTAAAGGACCAACCCCTTGCTGTTACCAGAATACATGTACTAAGAAGTCGGTGGAGGAATGTGTATGTCCGAATTGTTATGACATCAGACAACAAAAACTCGCTGAATATTCTTCATGGCTTCCTTCTAAACCATCATGTTCTGTTCACTCTTACACACGGGGAGAAATATGTGACATCTTGAAAGGTAGTACAATCCATTTTGTTGGAGATTCTCTGATGCGGCATATGTATTATGTTCTTCTGCAAAAACTAGGCGTTCCCTTAAGAGATATATTCGAGCCTCAAGCACCAAAAGGTAAGTCACGGTTTCTTTTCAGGAGGTACCGTATTCGACATGATAAGCGCCCAGGGCGCTCTCAAATTAGAAATAGGTGGCTCCTTTTAGAATATTATTTTGGAGAAAAAAGTTGAAAGATCGTAAATTTCGTGGTTTATGCTGACAGCCTGAAATATTTATATACGACAGATATATTTTTCCAGAATTTAATTTATATAATTAAGGATACATATAACACACGTATTATACACGAATAAATAGGTCTTGTGTACATTCAACAATCGGAAGGGGTGCTAATTGGGATTGTTCACTAGCCAATATATAAGAAAATATCGCCATGGGCGCTTATTAGTGCGGGGTTCTTATTACGTCGAATGCAGTAAGTGTGAATACTTCGTGTGTAACATACAATTTTAGGGGTTTGTTTCAAATATACTATTTGAAGCACCTTTGTTGTCTGGTATATATCTGTAGAATGTACAATGACCAATTTTGTTTCCAAATCTTCAAAATCAAAAGATGAATAACAACATTCTATAACAATGATCAGAAGGTGAAATGAGGGTTCTGTCGGATCCTTAAGATCTATGTGGTGTATTTGTGGTTATGGAAATATAATACATATTAATAATAATACCCATTGCACTATATATCATATATTTTTTATTTCCATTTTGTCACGTGTAAACAAACTCTGCTGACATTCATGAAACCTCCAATGAACTATACACATTGTGTACTATTGACATTGTTTCATTACAGATGAGTGTCAGTTCCATGGTATATTTGCAGAACGCTCATGTCTCCGTTATGTAAAATCTCCAAGAACGGTTTGTGACGGAAATAAGCTTCTCTCCTACACGAGTTATTTCTACAGTCAGAATGGACCGCAGCTTTACCAAGATACTCTTAAAATGCTGCAAAAACCCAAAACACTTCTCTTCACCGGAATAGGGTACCATGTCCATTTCAATCACGAGTCGGTATGTACACAGTATATCAAACCTATTGCCCAGTTGTTGCAGGACAAAAAGTCAAGATGGCCAAAGTTACTTTGGCTTGAAGTTAACGCACCAGGGTTTGTTCGAGCTCCAAAAGATTATGACAAGGTGGTCGCTGATGTGAAAGTATTCAAAAAGAAGTTAGAAGAGTGTCTTCAATCATATAAAACTCCAATTCTGAAGACATATAATATGTCCTCTGATCTTCTCAGTTTTGACGGTGTGCACTACGGATTTGGCTTCAACTCCATGAAAATTAACCTTCTTCTAAGTTTCTTAAGGGAGTGGCGTGAAAGCGGCGACTGGTAGTTGCATGCAGTATTGTATTTGTATATTTCTGCTCTACTTACGTTATAGTAAATGACTGTAATCGAAACAAAAACCATGAGAAAAAAAAATTGTGCGGGAGTGGGAAGGGATGACACGCATTTACATATGATACCCTAGCTTCACAAGCTGCTGTTGATGAGATATTCTGTAGTGACATTGCATCTGCTTTCAGATCAGCAAATATGGATCGTATGTCAGCATGGGAAATATCAAGTGCTTCTCCTTTATCTTCTGTTGATAATAATGAAGTTGTTATTAATATAAAGATATATCCACGTGTATAGAGTATTTGTTTTCGACACTGGGGCTTTACAAAAATACGCACTGCACTCCTATCATAGATAATTTCAGTCTTGATACGTTTATTAGAACAGAGAACATCTATCTCTGATTAAGAGGTAAAAAGTAATTGTACACAGTGTACCGTATTTTCGTGCATATGACACTTTTTCACATCTGATGCCACTTTATATGAGCATTTCCTACTATTATAATATTTTGATTTGGTTGTTAAGGTAAAATTATTAATAATGGTTGACATATAGTGTTTGTAATTTTTTTAATAGGCTTTAGGGTGGGACATCCAAACACCTCCCCATCCCCCTGAAGTTACAAATGTCCCAAGTGGAACCCCCTTTTAAACTGCCCCTGGTTTAAAGTCCCGCCTTGCGAGCTTGTATTGGAAACTGCAGCCTTCGATCAATGATGGCAGCAAGGAAAAATTCTACATAACCTGTTATAGAGAACAGAATATATATGTCTTATCTGGGCAAATTTAAGGTAAATGTTCTCTCATCATAGAATATATATTTTATTTTTATTCCATTGAATAAAATAATATCAGTCACTTTACATGGTGAATGAATGATTATTGACATTTTGTGATTTTTTGTTTCATAAAAACATGAAAGACGTATATGTAATGGAATCTTGGCTTTATCGAATGTTAACCGGTTTCGCTACTGTGAAGGGTCCTTTCTTGGCTATTGGGAGGCCACGCAGCTGGCTGTTTCCATTATATCGGAAGGCTGCTACATACTTCCTAAGTTTACATTACAACTTTCATGTCCGTGTACATTCTGAAATTACCTTACAACTTTCATGTCAGTGTACATTCTGAAATTACTTCAGAATTTTTAATGTTATTGTAAGTCATTCACCATTTTTAAAATTTAATTCCAATTATTTATCAGTCGCATAACTGTCTGTTACATAATTTGACCGCAGCGCACCAGTGCTGTAACTTCACATACCAGAGCAAACTATTACATATCTTTCGTTATTAAATCATTAACAGACTTCAGAATTTTACAACGGTTTTGCCTTTAGTACTGTTGTCATCTTGTTCATCTGCTGGGTAGAAGCAGTGGTTCAATTTCGGAGCAAAGTGGTTCACAACATTGCGAAAGTCTTCCAGCGGGAAGGTCTAGTAGTCTCCACCATGTTTAGGGCTAATTAGTGGTTCAATGAACCAAGTGTCAAACTTCACACAAAAATAACTCCAAGTCATTTAAAATATGCAAATTATTCAATGTTAATACTGAATCTGTAAGTGAACAATAACCTCAAAATTAGGGATATGTCTCTCCTTACCTCACATGCTGAAGTATAAATGGCCTTGGGTTTTTGGTAGTTGTGAAATGATCAGCAAATAAAACAAACTGTCTTGATCAATTCTCCCTCTTGGTCCATATAAGATGTCTAAGATACCACCGGCAAAATATATATATATAAAACCATATAGAAGTATTCTTTGAGTGAGTTTTTTAACTTCATATTTTGTAGGGGGCACGGGTGGCCCAGTCGTCAAAGGCGACGCGATTCGCTGTGCAGAGTTGCGTCCCTTGGGCACGTCAGAAACCAATGGTTGTGGGTTCGAATCCCGGTTCGCCCCGATTATGTTCCTAGGTTTGTCAGCACCATACCCGTGCTCGTGGGTTTCACCGAAGAGGTAAACGTCTGAGACCTGCATCACTTCGGTCTTTCCTCCCACATTAAGTTGATACGCCGTGATATAACTGGAACACTGTTAAAAGCGGCGTTAAACCCAACTCACTCAGTCATATTTTTGATATAATAACTTAAGACATTTTAAACTGAATATCAGTTAACACATAAAATCAGCTGAGAGGTATAGTTGTTTTTGCTCACCAGCAAATATGTGGATGTGAACTGAATTTGAGTTATCTGAAAAGTGTGGAACATACCTATATGAAAACTATGTATCTACAAGGTAATGGCCACGTATTGTCTTCAGATAACACCCGTTTTTGTGCAGGTGAATCGATCAAAATCATGTGCACAGCACTATAGTGGCAAAAGTGGTTTTTCACGTGCAACTGGTCACGTGGCCATAATACCGCACGTGTTTTCAGCCATACTTGTTAGCAGTCATTAACAAAAAAAGAAAAACACAAGAAATCAAAAGTCTTTACGGCCATTTGTCATGCCACGCCTTTCAAATGTGCAACGTGAACGTGCCATCGGCATGTTGCAGACGGGAACGTCCGTAGCTGAAGTCGCGAGGACGATGTGTTGTAGTCGACGGACTGTTTATGATTTACAGACGCGTCTACAGCAAACGGGTACCACCGCTGATCGCCCTCGCCCAGGTCGACCACGTGTGACGTCACATGCAGAGGATCGTCAGATTGTCTTACGCTACCTCCGTAACCAATTTTTGACGGCTACATCAACCAGAAATGAACTGTTTAGGGGTAGACTGAGTGCGCAAACTGTTCGAAACCGTCTGAGAACTGCTCACCTTCAAGCACGACGGCCATACTGCGGGCCGATTCTGACTCAATTACACAGACGTCAACGTCAATTGTGGGCACAGCGACACTTACGATGGACTCGGAGAAATTGGAATCAAGTCGCCTTCAGTGATGAATCCCGATTTAATCTTCGATTTGCTGATGGTAGGGCGAGGGTGTGGAGGCGCCGTCATGAACGTTACGCCCAGTATTGTGTACAGGAAGTTGACAGATTTCGAGGCGGAAGTGTCATGGTGTGGGGTGCTTTCTGTGGCAATGCACGTTCCAGGCTTCTTGTCATCTGTGGCAACCTCAACGCTGCTGCTTACCGCGACCAGGTACTGGCGCTAGAACTTCTGCCTTTTATGGGAGCACATGGACCCGGTTTGATCTTCCAACACGACAGTGCCAGACCCCACACAGCAATTTTGACAAGGAATTTCCTTCAGAATGCGGGTGTCAACGTCATGGACTGGCCGTCAAGGTCTCCCGACCTCAATCCCATCGAACACGTCTGGGATGCTCTTGGCAGAAGTCTGCGCACTCTCCAGAACCAACCACAGAATTTGAAAGATCTTGGCACCATTTTGCAGCAACAATGGCGTCGACTTCCCAATCATGTATTCACAAGCATCACAAGGTCCATGCGGAGGCGTTGTGTGGCTGTTGTCAACGCACATGGTGGCCATACACACTACTGAACTTGTGTGCCATCAGATTCTCGTGCTTGGGACTTATGATTTAAACTGTTGATGCTATTACCGAATACCGTAGGTGCTTGGAACAAATTATGTTTACCACCGTTAATTAAAATCCTTCTTTGGACATTAATGATTAAAAACTACCTTCTCCGATACATTTGTTCGTTGTATATCATATATGGGATTACTTTTTAAAATGTGAAGTTTTTAATTTGACTCATATATATATATATATATATATACTAGTATATATATTTGTACAGAAAGACATAAATTTTCAATGTATTTCTGTTTGTATAGTGCTTTAGGACAACACAATATTCGAGACATACGACGGCAGCGTATAAACGTGTTAAAAATCAGTTCCCGACAAACACATTTCCCACGTCGTCGATTGATATATTCCCCACTTACGACAATCATAGTTTGCAAGGGGCCATTCATAACATGGAATACATAATTCAGTGTTTTAAAACAAGCATTAAATAATCAATATCTTAAACGTCGCAGATACAAAAGCGTCTGTGTGCACCTGCTTCTCCTTGCCACCTTCACCTTCTCCTTACTAACTACCGGGGTCGTGACAGATAATCATACTATGATCTAACATCGGACTAAACAAAGGGATGTTCCAAAGGAAACATGATTTTCACCAACCAGAATCCCACAATACAAACTGTCCTTTGTCGACAGGTATTTTTATAATAATAAACTTGTTCTCATCGCGATATGGCTGCAATATTGCCGATGCGATGTAAAACCATAACTCACTCACTCACTCACAATACAATCTACACATTCAAACAGGGACGAAAGACAAAGCAGAGTTTCGATTCCCTGGTAAATAATGTTGTGAAGTCCTGTAAATAAAAAAATAAATTATATCTTTCACCATCAACCAGGGACCAACCATCTTCAAGTGTAACTCTCTGGTCATACTGGATTCAACGTTTCCAAGAGCGAATGGCAACATGGTTCACCTTGTGGCTTGTAGAACGTTGGAAAATACAAACATCACCGACGAGTCCCAATACACGAGTATAAATAGAATATATTCATACATATCAAACAAGTTCAGTGACCCAAATCTGTTTTAATTTACCCGAATCATGTCTGGAGACACTTTTAGATATATTGGATCAAATATGGACATCAGGGAATTTTCCTCCTTCATGGCATAATGCCATTTCAGTCCCAATACCAAAGCCTGGCCGGGATCATACAGATCCCTCTAGCTATCGACCTATATCCTTAACAAGTTGCGTGTGTAAAACCATGGAACGAATGGTTAATAATAGATTAATTTGGTATCTGGAAACCAATAATCTAATTACAAATATCCAATGTGGTTTCCGAAAAAATAGAAGTACTATCGACCATTTAGTACGATTAGAATCCTTTGTGAAAAATGCTATTGTAAAGAAACAACACGTAGTATCAATGTTCTTTGATCTTGAGAAAGCATACGATACTACTTGGAAGCATGGCATTTTAAAGTATTTACATGATTTTGGTTTGAGAGGTCGTTTACCTCATTTTATATCACAATTTTTAACAGACAGACAATTTCAAGTCCGAGTGGGTATCACCCTGTCTGACCATTATAATCAGGATCAGGGTGTCCACAAGGCAGTATTTTGTCTGTTACCTTGTTTAGTATTAAAATAAATAGTCTGTCCAAGGTTTTAAGTGATTCAGTGGATGGATCACTGTTCGTGGATGATTTTATTATATCTTGTTGTGGTAAAAATATGCTTACCATAGAGAGGCAGTTACACATCTGTCTCAATAAAATTCACAAGTGGTCTCTCGAGAACGGGTTTAAATTTTCTAAATCTAAAACTTATTGTATACACTTCTGCAGAAAATATAAGCCGCATAAAGACCCTGAATTATTTTTGAATGGCACCCCTATCAAAGTTGTAAAGGAGGCCAAATTCTTGGGACTCATCTTTGATAGCCATTTAACTTTCTTACCACACATTAAATCACTTAAAGCTAAATGCCTGAAAGCACTCGATTTGTTGAAAGTTGTATCTAATTCAAAGTAGGGAGGGGGTCAGACAACCCTCTAACACTTATACAGGTCACTGATCCGTTCAAAACTTGATTACGGCTCCATCGTCTGTGGTGGAGCCTGTAAAAGTAATTTTAAAAAACTTGATACTGTTCATCACCAAGGACTAAGGCTTTGCCTTGGAGCCTTTCGCACTTCTTCTATTCCAAGTCTGTCTGTTGAAGCGGATGAGCCTTCTCTTAACAGTTCATCACTAAATTATATTCCAATCAGTCAAATCCAGCTTTTAATTGCGTATTTAATCCTCTTTACGAAGATATTTACAATAAGAAAACATCTCTTGTTCCACCACTTGG